GCTAGTAGGTTGGAGGCCATCACTATAGTAGGTTGGAGGCCATCGCTAGTAGGTTGGAGGCCATCACTAGTAGGTTGGAGGCATTCGTATTAGATTGTTTTTGCTTTTAGGTCTCCAAAGTCGAGTCCCGAGTCTCCCCACGTCCACGTCTGTGGCGCGGTCGTTCGTCTGCATGGCGACCACCGCTGGTCCAGGTGCTGAGAAGGATTCCGAGCCGGACTGGTCTGGCCTTGAAGGCTGACCAATGTCGGAAAAGCATTGGAAGGGAGATCTGTTCTTTTTTTGTTCTGTGTCTTTCCTCCTTGCTGTGTGGTGACGGAGAAGTGACTGATATAAGAAGGTTGAACAAACCATCATCGCAAGGATATCAAGGTGGAATTCGGTATCCGGAGTCCTGGAGGTTTCGTTAGCGAACCTTTTCCACATCTCAGACCTTAAGAACTAGACGTCCCGTCTGTGGGTCTTGACCGGACTTTGGACCCACATTCTGGAGGTCAACACGACATTGTATCATTGTATCATGTACTGGTTCATGTACTGTATATTGCTCAGTCATTTCTTCTTGGCCTTGAGATGATACTTGTTTTTGCAGACCTTTTTTTTATGGTGTTGCAAAGATTATTATATATTAGAATATATTATAATGAAATAACGTGTTTGCAGATAGAGGGAGGGTCCAGACAGGAACCTCAATCACGAACCGCGAGTTGGCACCTCAACCCAAAGTGAGAGCTCCTGAAAATTGAATATCAGAACATTCATTTCAGAACAATTTGTTATGCATATATATGGTAGGGGAGAAGGTTCCAAGTCCTGTGCCAGAAATCTGGCGATCTGGATCTGGAGATCCGAATCGTACAGAACCATGCAGAAACGCCCAAGTACTACTGAGCCCGTCCTTCTCGCCGATGCCCTTTGTATCCTTCCAGGACTCGCCATGGACACGTTTGACACGCGCCTTTCCGCGCGCCTCCGTGTCGCGCGCGGAGCGGGGACCACCAGGTGACATGGCCAAGATGGGTGAACAGATCCATCGCTTGGAGGAGTGCAGCGAGTGTTTCGGAACCCATGACGATTGACACAACTACTATATATAGTATATAAATGTATACCCTAGGCTTCCAACAAACCATTGTTTAGTTTTGATGGCCTTTACCGAACCACCATTGTTTTACTAAGGATTTTACACTACGCAACCAGGTCAACCTTTCCTTGAATGGTCTTGGAAGCCTAGGGTATACAAATAATATAATCTATATATAATATACAATGATATAACACATGTCAATGTTTCCCGAAACAGATGCCGGCCACATTTCGCCAAATGATGGCAACCACCTGGTAGGAAAAGAATCTGAAAAAACTGCCGACGGGCTTTGGGACCTGGTGGGCTATCTTACTTTGGCGGGTCAACTTCAGCCTAGAGAGATTCCTCAAACTACTCGGATCGCGGGTCGACCGTCGCGCCTTTCAAGCAGTCCTTTCCAAGCTCAACGAAACAGGCTGTAGAATGCCATGTTTTAACGCGCTAGGCAAGCAGATGTCCATGGTGTTGTCGACATTTGTCGGTCTTTGTCTTAGTTTTGGTTTCTGGGTTTCTCCGGTATGCTTACATTTGTCGTTGTCGTCGTTGTTGCTGCCGTTGTTATGCTGATGTGCTTTTGGTGCGTGCATTTTCTGAGTGGCATCAACTTGTTGCTCCTCATGGGCCAAGACTACGTGCACAAACCTGCGGCGGAGCCACATGAGGAGCAAGTGACCAAGATTGGGCCCCGGCTGGACGAGCAGGTGGGGCATGGTGGGGCCTGGTGGGGTGAGCCGATGCGACGCTGAGCGATCCAATCGAGCAGCTACGTTCAGGTGAGCCGTCGATGGACGAATTGAATGCTGGTGGTGGTTCTTTGCAAGCGATGTGATGTTTTGTTATAATATACATATGTTTCATGTGTCTTTCATGTTGATGATCTCACGCACTTTTCGGTACCTGTGTATGTGATTCTACCTACTGTTTACGTAAAGGTCCTGAGTTGGTATCGATTGAAAGACATAACCAGCGGATTGACTCCATGAAGACACGAGACCTTTGATTTTTTATCCGCAAAAAAAATGCACAACACAAAACCACATAAAACTCCTAACATACATCCTGTCCTGACATTGCGGTAGAATTCATTGCTCTTGAAGTATGGACCAAGTTATCGGTTTTGCAAAAATTCTGAGCTTTGAAGAGCTTTCGATCAGTCAATCCGACAATCTGCAAGTTTCTTGTTTTGGCCTCACGAGTGTTTTCCGACTTGCCAGAATGCCAGAATACGTTTTGGGGATTTGGGAACCACAAAAAACACATGTAAAAACCATGAACCTGCTGAAAACATGTTGTACATGTTTCAACAATTGAGCCCTTTAAATACCTAGGCAACCTCTCTTTTCAAAGGTTCTGAACATGCATGGCACAATTTGTCATTCTCATGACCCAGCTCGTAGGTGTGATATCATCTCCTTGTACGTTCACTTGCTGTACTAAGTACACACCCTTCGGTGGGCTTGTCCGCCGCAACTCCACCGCCTGGACGAACAGGCCTTGTCCTTGTCCGCTGGAAACGCCACGGCCGAAGGCCGAACGAGCGTTGGCGCTCGTTGGAGAAAGCCCAGCAGTGGGGCCATCACAACCAACACAGAAATCCATTCCCATCCATGTTCCAATCAATAGGGTGCAACATGGGTTTCATGGTCTTGGTCTTGGGAGTTGGGAGTTGGGCTATGTTGGGACTGTTTCTTCCGTATCCTTTGGCTGCGCTTGCTTGTCCTAAGGTCTTATAGGAGCGAGCCACAACGACCTAAAGTTGGCTCAAAGTTTTGAGAATGGCCAACATCAGTCAACACACACCCAGTGGCCGTTTCAGATCAGGATATGAGGCGGTCAGGGTTCAGTCTTTCAGGATCTCGAATCGCCGCTGGACCTGTATATAGAGGCTTTTCAGTCCAAAACGAGAAGGAACAAGAGATAGACAAGGTTCCACAGCAATGAGATGCCAGGCTATGAGGGCTTGCAAAGAGATGCAAACAGGCATCGGAGGTTCGAACTCTTTTTTAAAGATATGTTTATACTAGGAGACAACGAAATAATAAGTAATGTGGGTTGAACCGTTCGGAAAACCCTTCTTGAACAGATTTGAAAGGCAAGGTCGAAAACTGGGGTTCAGGCACCAAAAAAACACTTCGTTAGTGGAAAGCTGATTTGAATCCCTGATATATAATATTTTTTGTCGTGTCGCCGAGAACAACTTCGCGAGAAAACGTGTCTTTTGCATTTCAAGCTGGAGAATTCCAACATCAGCGGCCCACCTCCCCAATTGCGTATGCACTGTTTAAAACATCATCATTTGCGTGGGCTGGGCTGCGAAATAGTCGGCGTCGCATACTTCGCTCCACCCTCAGGAACCCCCGGTCGCCTCGGTCGTTCAAACCGGAGTAGACATAGACGTTGACCGGCGCAGACCGCCGCGGTGGCGTTGAACGGTCGCAGGGTGTGGGGCACCCGGAGGGTGGAACTGGTGGACACCCCAGCGACCGACCGAAGGTCACAGTAACAGGCATGAACTACTGTAGCCTGGAAGTTGACCCTGACACTGTATACGTACTCTTCTTTGTTGCAATGACACTGTGTGGTAAAGCGAGCTTTGCCATTGGGCGAAACACTGCAAAAGAACGAGAAAAGAAGATAACACGATCTACCATTCCCTATAGCAACCATGGAGCAACCATTTTGGTCTTTACTCAAGACCTCACTTTTGTTGACCCTTCGGCTTTTTGTACGATGGCTAGTGTCGTGCTAGCACGTCATGAGCTTTTCCTTTGCTCTACGTCATGAATCGTCATGAGTTCGACTCAGCACGGCCTTGAATGAACAAAAACTAAAGCAGTCTATGAGTCTATGGGTTGCTTGTCTATCATCAAATAAATGCCGCCGTACGTAGAGATACTGCAAATTTCCAGATCGATGCATCGCTATGTGGAGGCCTTCATGACCTTCGTCAGCGTTTGGAGGATCTGACGGAGATGTTGGATGGAGAGCGGCTGACGTGGCCAGGGCAGCAGTTCATGAACCCGCAAGTAGCTGAAGTGTCCTACTGAACTGATCATTTTGTTCCTCAGCCTAGGGTGCGTTGGATATGCAAAGGATCAGGCAGCAGCACTGCGCATGTCTCGCCCTAGGCAGCTGCGCCATGTCTCCATCGCGTGGCCTGAGCTGAATGCGAAGCTGGAACGAGTGAGCCGGCAGAGTGCTGAGTGTTGTGCCCCTCGGCGTTCCGAACCGGGCGCCCACCGCGGCGTTCCCACGCCGCCGGACGGAAGAGACACGGCCTGGGCGGGGAAGAGTTCGAAGGGGAAGACGGCCTGATGTATGGTTTTCTTTGGACCTGGCTTAGATGGAGAGTCTTTTTGTACAGCGATGACTGGCCAGATATGTGATGAGTCTCGTTCATCCTCATTCCTAGAGGCCGAAGAGACGAATAGCTGGGGCATTCATTCTCCCATGCTCTGCCTATCGTTTTTTTTGTTGAACCTGTCCCGCATGGTAAAGACCCCAGCCACTTCAAGCACTCTTGCGGCTTGTCGCAGGGAGATGAAGTAGAACACAAGGTTACAAATGGTTACACTAGTGGTTACACTAGCTAGTTACGCTATAATTAAGCAAGCAGCAACCGGTTATCATATGTGTATGTATGTGTATATGTCACTAAGTACAGAAATATATTCACTTTCTTGCATAGAATATAATGTGTACGCATAACATGACCAATGACAATCAACAAAAGTCTCACAATTTAAACATGTCCCTCATCACCTGTTTTCGAGGCAAAGACCGAAGCCTTCGAAGTGCGCTTGGACTTGACACGCAGGCGCGCGAAAGCCAGCTTGCAGGGTCGGCAGGCACTTGGTGCGGGATGGGTAGTCCGAGAATAAAGGAAGGACGGTGGCTGTTCATATTTGGATGGCTCACTTTTCCCAGTTACTGTTGATTCGCCAACGCGGTAGACAAGAGGTTTTTATCGGTGTGAAAAACACAAACAGTATTACTGGTGTTTGCTCGGGGATTTTGGAAACATACTATTATGACATATTATGACAAACTTAACTTGTTGTTTTTTTCACCAGAACTCTTTTTTGAGTGTGCGTGTTTCCTTTTTTCCTCTCTTGGTGTTAACTGCCACGAGCACCACACTTTGATTTGATCAAACATATGACATATATATATATATATGTGTACATATACTGCATACATGTTTGTTATTGTGTTTCCATCATCCCGTGAATAGGCTGATCCTTGATCAAATCTCCTTATCAAGACTGTATCAATAAAACAAAACAAACACTTTCAAGAGGTAGTCACCCTGTTTTTTGGGGTCCGAAAATGTACAGATGCAGACCTCTTCCTGTTGCAACACATGTCAATCTCCCTCAAGTGTAAGGAGGGGATCTTACAAACTAAGATCCACCATGAAACACGTCAGCCACCCTTCATCAAGACCTATATGATAGTTGTTTTTTTTTGTTTTGAAAAAACGTCTTCATTATAAAAGACCAGGTATATGTCACAATTCTTCCTTGAAAGACAAGAATCCGTTGATTTGTCACGGACCGTGTCCTCGGGACCATTCGGGACCCTAGGAATTTGGACACGCAAGAACGGCTCCTCGGCACTGCATCTGGATGCGGTAGTCCACAGGGGGTGGGGGCAGGTTCTTGGGAGGTTGGACTTTGATGACCATTATATAATTGGATAATAATGTGGGTGTTGGGGTTTTATTCTGATCGATATGTTGATCGATTATATAATTTGTATGCTGGGGTTATCCAATCATGTGGGCTCTTGATTATTAACCCCCCATGTAAAGAGGTTGTCCTTGTAGACTCTGGGATTTATGAATCCAGAGTCTACATTAGCGGCGGATGTGGTGGATGTTCGGTCACTTCTCTGTTCCAACGCTTTGAACTGAACGGATGACTACAGAGGCGCAGTGAACGGGTACAAGTCAGAACATGTCAGAACGCTTACCGGGCAAAAACCAGTCCAGAACATTTGGCGCTTCAACTTGAATATGCTAGAATATTTTTTGGTGTTGGCGAACAATGCTTGCCCGAAATTACCAAACGTGTGCTTCGAGTAGGTTGCTTCGGCCAAGTGTAGGTGTGTCCATGTTTGTCGTTGCTTGTCTTCATGTCTCTTCATGTTTCCTCACCCAGACCTTCCCACCACTTCGGCATCCAACCTGCCTCGAGGCGCCTGGAGGGATTGACCTCCCGTGTGACGGCGCTGCGCGACGAGCGACATGAGCGACGTGTCCGGAGCGAGGGCCACCTGGCATCACAGTGGATGTAATGGGAAGTGGAGGGTGATAGGGTGACTGGAGGGGCCTCCTCGAGAGGCATGGATACGAAGAGCATTAGCATAGCCATTCATCAAGTTTGTTTTCTTGGTCGATTAAGCGCGTGTCCCTGGTATCCTAGTATGGTGATCCAGTCCGACCGAACACACTGGAGACCGTTTGGGCGCTTAGATCATGCAGAGGCAGAGCGCTGCCAAGGGAGACTGGTTGATGGATACGCACAAGACTCGCTTCACAAACAGCGACGTGCAGCAAGATCAGATGCTTTCGGAAGTGCAAAGGATGTATTTTGGAAAGCACAGAGAAAATAGAGAGAACGCGGAGAAGGCATATGCAAGCTCACAGAACGGAAGCCGATTGTTTGTTTGGGTAACTCTGACACCCGGTCATTGCCGCTTTTTGCAAAGAGCAGGTGTCCGAACCAAGAGCTGAGAATTTATGAGAATTGGGCGGGGTTGATCATTGTGTTGATATGCTTACATTTCGTTTGTTGAATATTGCTGGACTTGTCCCTTGCTTGACAGTGAGACTGCTCAAAGGCCTGGAGGAGAAGTCATCCATGGCGATGCTTGCACAAAAGCAACTGCCTGCACACAAGCACTTCGATATCAAGGCATGGCCTGGATCAAGAGCAAGTGCAACGATATGTTGGGCACTTGCAGGTTGTTGCTTTGGTTTTTTTTCGTTATATTGTGTTTTAAATCTGAATGTGTTTCATTGATATGTATTTGCCATCCTCATTGTGCTCGTCCCAATCAAGTCATAGACCTGGACTGGAACCACGACGCTTGTGTAGCCCACTCGAGAATAGCCCGAAACGGATGGAGTCACGGCCCCACAATCGTGCCTTCCCTTCGCAAGGCTCCTAAATAGGGTCCCGAAATCCTCTTTGAATTAGGTAGAGGAAGCATCAACGCCTGCGGGAACCACAAGCATCAACATCACAGAGGCATCGAGACGATGTACATCAACATGCGTGCGGTGTTGGGCGTCCCCAAGGCCTTTTTTCACATGTCGCAGGCTCTGGCTACGAAGCAGCTGGAGCTGAAAAAGGAGGAACTGGTCAAGAAATCCCGCGGGGCATGGCCAGTTCATTTTGGTGACCGGTTTCGGTCTGTTGGTCACTTATATAAATGGTATACAGTACCCTCACGGCAACGTCACCCTGAACATAGAACCCTGGACCAAGCACTGGATGACAATATTCCCTGGCAGGGTCCATTGAACTTTATGATGTACACCATGAAGTGCACAATGTTTTGCTATGTTTCTTGTTGACAATCGGGGTCTGAGGACCAATCCAAAAGCGCATCGATTCGGAGTCAAGCTCCAAACCATTATCAATATGATAATATGTCTATTATTGTGTCGCCCACCGGATTGAACCAGTTATGATGATTGTCTCAAGCACCCTGAGTGAGTGTTTTGACATGTTTTGACTTATGTTTTGACCTTTTCATGCCAATTGGCAGTTTGTGTTTTCTCCCCTAGTAATGATTAACTGTTGTTTTAGTTGTCGTGTCTCTTTGTCTCTCTCTCTCTGATTGTCGGCCTGTTCAGCTGTTCCACCACCATCCATTCGACATACACGAGGCACGTCCGTAGCATACAACTATTCATGCAGTTTACAGGCACAAGTTGGCCAGTTCGTGATTAAAACGCTCCTGGGGCGGTGTCAAAAGACAAGACACACGTACTGTTGTATTTGGAGTTTTGTTGCGCAGACACACTGTTTTGTTATGTTGTGCAGTGTTTTCAAAACGCATCTACCAGGCTCGAGGTGCTTTGGTGCGTGGCAGAACGTCCAAAAACAAAGGGTCGAGTTTCGTTGTTCAAACGGAAGGAACGCGGGTCGTCAAAAGTGGCAAAGCTGTCATCAGATCCAGCAACGATCCTGCAGAAAGTTGATGCTCGTTGTTTCCGGTTTGCTGAATGAACAAAGGGTCAAACCCTCTTCCGGGTCAAAGAAGCATGGGGTACGGTGCCAGATTTCTACACGATCATTTCATCGATTTCATGCTGTACTATATAAGTCCAGAGGCTGTTTGTCAGGTTGATTTTGACCGTGGCGCCGTGGCTGGCTGAATGGACGGCGTGCTGATGTTTCTCAGGTCACTGAAAGCCAGACGACAAGCCCCACCTGGACAAATAATATGTTGCCTTGCTTTGGGCTCTCAACAGCTGCGTTGCACTCTTTACCCATTGTTTCGACCCCGGATTCAATTGATTTCTTGCAGACCTTGATGCAGGACCGCCATTGATCCTAAGATAAGTTTCGCACAAAACGCTGGACCTGATGGACAAATTGAATAGTGTTTTGTACCCGTATGCTTACACACTCTCAGGTATTTGCAAAAAAAATATATATATATATCATTATATATCAGAATATGGTCCTTAGCATCGACACGTGGGTGCCCAATGTACAGTGTGTGCACCGTCCAGTGGCGCCATTTGCCGCCAACAGGGATTAGCCGGGCATTTCCACTGTAAAACGATAATTCATGACGATACATCAATGTCTCTTGTCAGTGAAATTCTTTACCATATCCTGGTTTGTATAGTCCAGTCTAGCTGTATATTAGCCTTCCTTGTGTCCACCCTTGGTGTCCACCCTTGCCATGACATCAACTGTAAGATCCATGTGGCCTCTTTTTGGTGTCCATGACTAGGCCAACACGTTCTGTGACATCAGTTTGGCTTTGTTTTTGCGTACATTTACTGGTTTTCTTTGTTTCCACGGTTCAACATCAACTATAACAGCAATGTTTTTGGGGCCCCATGGCATTGTCCCACCTCAACATCAACTGTGACATCAATTTGGTGACTTGGTTGAGAACTCGGGTAGCCCCCATCTCATACAGATGAATCTGACACAATCTATTTTTTAAAGAATCGGCCCATTCATGAAACTCAAAACCATACTCGGTGGTGTCTTCAGATATTGTGTTTTCAACCTTGAGGGACTACCATTTTGCATCCATTTTCCAAGGGAGCTATTTTTCCCACCAACCAGCATCCTTTGCAGTTGCGTTTGTGAAATCAAAGAACTCATTTTCACGAAACGGCAAAGGACGCTGCTTGGTGGAAACAGCTCACTTGGACAGTCGTCCGTGGGTTCAACCATCCCACGTGGTTTCCGCTGGCCGGCGGAGACGGAGACAGCGAATGAACGCAGATTCGCAGCGTCGCAGGAGCCGAAGAGTGATTCTTGCGTGGAGGGCGAATGAAACGCATGTGTTATTTAAAATAGAATAAAAATATATAACTTGGAAGTTCACCGAAATCCGGCAGAACCTCCAGACTTTGATTGAGAAATTGTGACAATGTTATGACATATTATCATGACCCTAGCTCTCTATATCTATATCTATATATAATATGTTTTTGATAGATGTTGTGTGTTGTTGGTATAGTTTCTGTCCGGTGTTCCGAACGTCCACCAGTGGTTCTTCAGCTCGGAATTGACGGGAACTCTGCATACGTCTCAGCTGGTCCCGTTTGCAAAAAGGTGCGAAACCTGCGAGACAGCTGAGCCGGATGAATGCCTGTTGTTCCCTGCCGTATGGCATCCTATGGCTTCTGATTGGTAATTCCTGCTGCGGATAATAATCAAAGGATGATATAGATTCAGAAGTAGCTGTTGAACCTTTTGACATGCAGCTTACTCTTTGGTCCTTGGGGTTTGAAGATGGGCCTACATGATTGAATACCCATCAGAACAAGATGATTATGAGTTGAAAGGTTTCTTTGACAGCCAAAGCCTCGTGACACATCACACAAGAAGAAGCAGAACTGCCTTTGGTTTGGCCTAGCTATAGACACTCCTTGGAAACTCCACGTAGAACCCCGTTACGTTGTTGATGAGTCTATGTTGTGTAAGAGTTCGGAGCACTTTTGTTTGAAACCGCAGGCCGATAGGGCTTTTGACACCCTGTTGATGCAAATATAGCCATGTACACAGTTGCTAGCTAGAACTACTGCAGACGGACTACACTTGCATTATAATCCAATAACTATATTCATACAAGAGCTGCTACCCGGGTGAACGCAGTGAGCTGCTACCATACGATGTTCTGAGGCTGCAGCCAAGGAAGAGGAGATGGCCAGGGGCATGACTGTCAATGATGTTGACTGCCAGGTGAAATAGACTTGAAATTCTTCATCACCTCCCAGGAGTGATGAACTTGATCTCATTGGTACATGGTGTCTCAATGCAGATTTCATTGACAGACCATATATCTCACCCCAACACCCACATGGGGAGGTGCCTTCCCGAGGGAGACGAGCATGCAAACTACGTAACGTCCTGTGCGAATTTACATACTGCATAACTTTAAAAGGTTGTCACCATGTATATGGGCTTTGTCCTTTCCCCCATTTGATAGGTGCATTAGAAATCATTCGATTTACATGCCGTGTGTTCTTCTGTCAGGATGCGGAAAGCTTTGCCAGCTTCGAAAGTGGCGATGGAGGCAGATGATTTGGGTAGGGAACTCCTTCATGCTCGCTTCTTGGTCCAGGTTCGGTAGGCAACTCCTTGTTTTTTTTTTCAGGAGCTCTTCGTTTTTCGACCGCCCCCCAACAAACGTGTTCCGTCTTTGGATGTCTCGTGCCTCAAGCAGAACATGCGAAGAATCCATCTCAGTTCAGAGACAAGTTGGAGGTCTAAGGCATGTCTAAGGCATGTCAAGCTCGGCTTTAGCTAGGCTCTAGAGTGGCTTGAGTGGATCAAACCCTAAGTGAGTGATACCGGATGACTCGGTGATCATGGTTTCGAGAGGTGTCTAAAGACCAAGCACAAATGTCTCCATGAACTGGTCACTATATGGATCCACCACGTGTGTCTTTGTTGATTCACTTGGCATTTGCCACCACGTGTGTCTCCACTTCGAACTGACGCCGCACCGCAGGCCTTGTCTTCCGCTCGCCCCAGAAGGAGCCTGAATCTCATTGAATCTCCGTGGAGCAGCTGCGAACGTGAGGCTTTTGGTGTAACTTTCCCACCAGAGAGAACGGCGCCAAAGCCGCTCTCGCCGGTGATACCCGCAGCCTCTAAGACAGCGTAGTAGACGGTTGGTGCGCGGTCTTCAGCTCAGACTTGGGTACCTGTACTGATCATGTACTGTAGCATCCGGTAGCGGAAGAAAAACAAACAGTAACATAGCCCTTCAGCAGTTTCTGGGGATCAAAGGAGGGGACCGAATCCTTGGATCCGCTGACTGCCGCGACGCGGAGGAGGTCTGACTGCAGCGACGAAGACCTGACCGCCAAGCGAGAACAAGGGAAAAAGGTGCCACGAGGTCAACCGTCCAGTGTGGAAGAACCTGCTGGATCCCCTTAAGATAGCTTGGATGCTCGGCTAGAGGTCCTTTGTGCTCGGAAAGTGAGAAACACCTGGCCGTTGGACAGGTTTTCGGTTGACCAGAGTCTGATCACCTCATGTGACAGCCCGGCGGGTCAAGTAGATCTTGAAAAAGCGAAGCACTTGCCCGAACTTTGCAAGAGGTTGGGAGAACAGGAAGTTTAAACCATCCCCTATGTGAATCATGAAACAAGTCTGTGCCACTCATCGAGTGATTCAACTGATGCCGGGGCCTGTTGCCTTCGCAGGTCCAGCTGATACTCGCCGGGAGGAGAAGGCCTGCGACCAAAGGGGGTCGTACGGTCCCCAACCAAGAACCAATGCACTCAGCTAGCTCAGGTCCCCAACCGATGTGTATTCCTTCGGTCTCCACACGTCCGGTCAAGGCACGACATGCGACCTCCCTTGCGTGGAGCTCCACCTCCAAAGCGGTAGGATCCAAGAGGTTAACCAGTACTCAGTACTGTATGATATGTATGCGTGTAATGTAATGTAATGTAATAATGTTATGTCGGGCGCGCCAGCCATAGATACAAGGAGCCAACATAAATTTATAAAGCAAAACAAGACAAACAAACAACAAAAGCAAAAGGTAAAGCAAACAAAAAAGCAAAAAACATGTAGCTGTGCGTGTTTGGCGCTTTTTTTCACTTTTGTTTCGCTTTATTTTCGCATTTGTTTCGCTTTATTTTCGCATGTTGTTCGCTCTTTTTTCGCCTTTTCCCTAGGAGCGTACAGCAAATATTGCTGACGGGTAAAAGTTCTCATAAGTGCAGAAGTGGTACCAGGAAAAAAAAAGCAAAACAAATGCAAAAACAAAGCAAATTGCGCTGCTTTTGCATTTTCATTTGCTGTTGTTTTGCTTTTTAACAATAAATTTGATGGTTGGTCATGTATGGCTGCCATTGCCCAACATAATAATGTAATGTGCTGCTGTTCTATTGTATGATACTGTATCTTTTGTGTGGTTCACCAGTACTGTATGACAATGTATTGGGAAAACCCACATGGAACAGTTCTCGGCGCTCGCAGACCGACCAGGGCCTTGGTGATTACCCGCTTCCTCATGTCCGCTCACATGTGAACCGGGTTCCCGTTCGGTACCGATGGAAAAAAGCGGAGAGTGAATTGGTTTCACCCCCAAAAGGATCGTGACTCGTCCCCTATGGAATCACTTATTGTCCAACGATTTGGAGGCGATGCTGATCCTCTCCGGTTTTGGAAAACCAACGATTCAATAAGGACTCCGACAACGGTGATCCTCGACATGTGCCTGCGGGGCCGTGTTTGTGCTTTTACTTTCCGGGGCCGCTCTTGCATGTGTGATTCGCAGTCCATGCAGTGTGCTATAGGAGGGATCAATTGGTACATGTGCTCAAGCTCATGGGTAGTGGCAAGTGATGACGAAGTGACATGACCTTGACATGGACATGCTGCATGCCTGTGTTTTGTTCCCATACACTCACTACGTGCAAAGCTGCACTTTCTCACCACTACTCGTATTTACGCGAACCCCATTCTAGTATGATGTATGATACGTATTGAGAGCAAGCGTCCTCTCCTCTCATCTTTAAGTCTGCCGTGAAGAAGTTCAGACGGGGTGTCTCCCCTCTCGTGTACCATGAAAAATTCCGACATCCAACGCTCTAACAGCCTGAGCCTCGCTTCGCTGGGCCGTGCGGAACCGCAGGGACGTCGTGCGGAACCGCAGGCGCGGCTCAAGTTGCTGGTGAGGAACTTCACCAGTACCGCGATCAGAGGCTCGAAAGAGCCGGTCCGTCGGTCGGTTGGGATGAACAGAAAAAGAAAGGGGCACTCACTCACTTTAAACAGGAATTACATGGAATTACCTGGTAGGTAGGATGGCGGATTGTGTTTCCATACGGTGTGCCGTGAGCACCAGATCTTCATTAGAGATATACTTTGCGAATGCTATACAGATACCATCAGATACCTCTTTCTGGAATACCCTCAATACTTGCATGACAGAAGACCCATTTGACCATGTCCAGCGCGTGTCGCTCTTGCCACCGAGGTGTCACTTGCCACCGGGTGGAGCTCTCGCAGGGATGCCTGGCGTCGAGGTGGTGTTATTCGGTGTCCTTCCACCCAGTCATACGCTCGAGGAGAGAAGGAGATGTGATGATAGGCAGCTCCGACAGCAGAAAGGAAGAATGATCATACGGTTTCTGCAGGTTTCTCGCTTTCTCATGTGTGCTGCATGGTTAAATAGGGGTCCTCACCTTTCTGTTTAGAAATATGTTTGGGCAAGCATCAGGCTGTATCCATTTGCTTGGGGTAGATGGACTCCAGAATAGTGCGTCAGGTGTTGGTTGCTTGCTTGTTTGGCTGGCTGGCACCATGTCCCACTCATTATGACCAATCCAGCGGCTCCTGAGACATACTCCATTGTTTGAGGAGGGTAGCTTCTTGTTAGCTTGTACAACATGTTTGTTCGACAACATGATGCTGGCTCTACATACACAGGCATTCAGAGGTGGGGGTTCCAGGGAATTGAATTTCTCAACGTATCCCTAGAAGCGGCACACCATTGCTGGGGTGGACGCAGAGTTGATGCACTGATTGGGATTGCCCTACTCACTACCGAGTAGACCGG